TTTATTTAACAAACTGTGAATAAAATAGTCTGGGATCAATGTCACTTTTGAACAAGGCCTCATAATACCAATTGGTTACTTGATTTAAATAAACTTAAACTCAATAAACAGCTGCCAGCTTTAACAGGGGTGGAGTTTGTGTATGACTAACAAAGGACCAAAACTCCAACCATCAATTGTTCATATTGAAAGACCGGGCTCCAACAGTGAAGCTTAAAGGACCAGGAAATATCTCCAATTTTCTTTACATGCATCTTTCTCAGATATACAACAGTTTTGGTGGTGCAGTGGTTAAAATTCAGTATTGAAAGCAAACTCTGCCCGCAACCTGGAGTTTGATCCTGATGGGACTCAAGGTTGACTCAGTCTTCCATCCTTCCGAGGTTGATAAAAGGAAGACCCAGATTGTTGGGGGCAACATGCAAATAATAATGCTTCTATATTGTAAACTATGCAGAAAGTGGCGCTATGGGGCGGTATATGAGCCCAAATGCTATTGCTATATACAATATTTTTAAGCATAAAACATAATGGAACAGTGAATGTTGAACATTTTGGTTTAAACTCAGAACTGAGCAACATCTATCCTGTTTCTCTGAAAATAAGACCTATCCAAAAATAAGCCCTAGCATGTTTTCTGTGTGTGCCTAATATAAGCCCTACCCCCCCCAAAAAATAAGCCCTACTTAAGAGCCTGTGCAGCCAACCATTCCGTTTGTTGCTTGCTATGTCGCAGTCACAAGGTGAGGCAGGAGGGTGAAGCTGCCCCATGCGCCCTGCACCGGCTTACCTCAAGGCCCCCGCAGCCAGGCCATCCATGCCCCGACACCTGCCTTCGCGGCAACAGCACCAACAGCCATGTGAAGCAGGAACCCACGTGGCTACCAGCCAATTTCTTCTGCTTGCTCGTGGCCGCAATGGAGCAGGAGGCTGAGCGGTGTGCTGGTGCCACGGCTGCAAGGTGAGGCAAGTGTCGAGGCATGGATGGCCTGGCTGCAGGAGCCCTGAGGTAAGCCAGTATAATGACCCAGGGCATGGCACAGAGATAACACAGGCAGTTGGCAGGTCATATGTACTCTTGGATTATAAAGTGCATTTAAAAATAACCAGAAGCTCTACAATTAGTCTCAAAGTCTCACAATTATTAGCTAAAACTTCCTATTTTTGCAGTCACTGCATTTAAGAGAAGAGCACGCCAGGATAACAGGAAGATAAAATGGAAAAAGTCATCCCATGGTTAGACAAAAATCTGAACAATCCAGATGAACCTACCAGTGGTATCCTCAGGTCAGGTCGCTGGTAGACCTCTTGTAGTCTTGAACCCCAAGAGGGAAAAGTCAATTACCCATCCAGCCACCCCAGTCGCCTATCCCTGTTCCTCCTAGAAACCAATCAGTTGTTATTATATCATAGTGCAAGTTTTGTTTCACCATCCTTTTGTTCTTTCTTATTTGCAATCTGTTCACAGGCTGTAGGGTTTGCTCTTAGCTCTCCTGAGGTTCCAGGAAATTGGGAGCGTTTAATAAACATCACCAGGAAGTTATTTCAATACCGCAGGGTGAGACAAGATGAATGAAACTTTACACCGCTCTCCTAAGCGACAATGTTCAAAATACGCATAAGGAACAAACAGCATATTATGGAAGGATGAGAAAGCCTCTGTGCCTATTGTGGTTATTTTAGAAACGCAACAGAAAAGAAATTGGAAGATAATTCTAAATGCAGAAAAACCAAGGAGATAAGGAAGAAATTCTTAGTTTTGTTCTTACAGACAACTTCTGGACACCATTTTATCCAAGGAGGAGTCTTATCTACAAGAAGTAACAAGCTGCATTTTCAACTACACCCAGAAAAAGTATTCTTTGCCTTTTTTTCCCCTTACAATCCACAGAGAGATCAAATAAAAGGAACTCAAATCATGCAGAACTAAGAAATTCAGATTGAGGAGAAACTAGAGAATATTCAAGTTGTTTTCCTAATCCTGCTCTGTAGCTGTATGGGTAGTCCTTGACTTACAACCGCAATGGGGATCACAATGGGGATCACACTTGGCCAAAAATTGAATCAATTCAATTCAATGGATTGGAAACAAGGCTCCACACCTATTTACACGACTTAGGAGACCCTGAGGACACAGACAAACCTCCAGGTGGCCTCAACAACTCTCTAAAAGAATGCAAATGACCAGCTGTCTCCAAGGAATACAAATCCTTCCATTCCCCACCATTCTTGGTTAAGAAGTGAAACGTCTTCGAAGAAAAACAAGAAAATCCAGTTGCCACTTAACCACCAAGTTACTTAACAATCGCAGTGATTTACTTGCTGGGAATTCCCAGCCAGCCTGGCATACAGGTAAGTCCTTGACGTACGACCATAATTGAGCCCAAAATTCCTACTGCTAAATGAGACAGTTGTTAAGTGAGTTTTGCCCCATTTTATGACCTTTCTTGCCACAGTTGTTAAGTAAATCACTGCAGTTGTTAAGTAAGTAACATGGTTGTTAAGTGAATCTGGCTTCCCCATTGACTTTGCTCCTCAGAAGGTCACAAAAGGGGATCACTTGACTCCAGGACACTGCAACCATCATAAATAAGAGCCAGTTGCCAAACATTTGAATTTTGATCACGGGATAAATTCCAAGTGTGAAAAGCAGGCATTGGTAACTTTCTTTCAGTTTTGTTTAGTGAATGGTCACTAAACGAATTATTCTACATCAAGGATTTCCTGTATTGTCTTCAGGTAGATCCTGCACCGCTCTTTGCAATTTTAAAAAAAATTCAAGATGCTTATTCAACATCAACAGTTCTACCGGGTAGCACAAATGTTTCTAATTATGCAGAATCCACCCTATTCTTAAATTCACTTGAAAGACAAAAACTGCACCAGAAATCCCTACCATCCACACAGGACAACCCACGGATCACTTTGGACTGCAATGCAGGTGTCAACTTTGGAAGCCATATTAGTACCAAAAGCTTCCATGCTACCATATTCCTGTGCTTGGGAAAGTAGGAGGGTGGGGAATTGTAGAGTGTTGGTAGCTAGACATAATAAGCATTCTTCTCTTCGCTCAAGGTCTGTTGTGGTTCGCCTGCAGCAAGTGAGGACAGCTGAGGTCTCGGAGAGCGAGGACTCAGATGAGGGGCCTGCGTGTGATGTAGGGATGGGGCCAGGACCATCAGGGAGTGGAATGCTGCCTTCCTAGATTGTGCAGGCTGGCAGCAGTGATGAAGAGGCCCCCGAGGAGCCTGTGCCCAGTGTGCATGCATGCAGGGCTGCTCGAACGAAAGAGCAGCTGCAGCAGCACGGGCGACTCGGGAGTAAGGCTGCAAGGTAATGGCCCCTCCCTTAAGAGATAAAAGCCAGCTGAGAAACTGGAGTTCTTTGCAGGAAGCAAAGAAGTTTTTGCACTCAAGTCTTGTGGAGGTTCGGAATATCTTGGTTGGTGTTTGGAGACTCTTTGTGTTTGAAATATTTCTCAGTAACTTTATCTAGTGTTCTTGACAGCCTTGCACAACCTTGGCAAGGCTCGTTCTTATCAGAGACAATTAGTTTGAAACAGCCTTTTAACCGGGAAGAAATGGAATTCATAAAGAATCATTAAAAAGTTTTGCTGTTAGCTCTGTTTTGTGTTGGTTTCCTTGGAACAAAGTTTGGGTCAGAACAAGGTCATGTTATTCCTGCACCTGAAGGAGGAGCGGTCGAAGGGATTTCTCTAAGTGAGGTGGATGGTGATTGGACCATGTGATGGACCTATGGGCGCAGGGGCTTGGTGTTGGATTTTTGAATTACTAAGGGGAAACCCGGAACTCTCAGATTTGGGCTTTCCCGGACGTGCCAGTTTTACTCTAATAAAAGGAAACTTTGAGAAGATGCCTGTCTCCGAGTTTTTAATTGGAGTTGAGTTTTTCTGCATCATTGACATTAGGTCAATTTCAGTACAGGAGTAGGTGGATAAAACCCTCATTAAGTCTGAAGAGCTGCTCCTGCTCATCACAATTCTGAATCCGACTTGAGTGTTATTGATGATAAAAGTTATACAGAAAAAAAAACAGTCCTAAAAAAAAACTAATAAAAGAAGGAAGCAGTAAAGAGGGTGAATGACAAGATAAATAAGCCATCACTGCAAACCTTGGTAGAGTCTGATTCACCTTCTCTCAGCCTTGCAAGGTAGACCAGCAGGGCCAGAAGAACTAATTCTACTTTATTGTTAAGGTGACATTCATCTTGAGGGTCAAAGATGAAAGTGAAAAATTTGGACTGCACCTTAACATCAAGGAAACAAAAATAATGACAACTGCAGAGAACACAATGCAGAGTGCGAAGCGACAATGAGACCATCGAAACAGCAAAGGAATTCATCTTCCTGAACTCTAAAATCAACCAACATGGTGACTGCAGCCCTGAGGTCAGAAGACATACAACGCTTGGAAAAAATTGCCATGCCTGACACGAACATCATCTGGAAGAGTAAAGACATCACCCTCCCAACTTAATGCAGATCAGTTAACACAATAATTTTCCCCAGTTGCTACTTATGGCTGAGAAACGTGGACTCTGAAAAAAGGCAGATAGGAGGAGGGTGGACGCCTTTGAGATGTGGTGCCAGAGGCTACTATTACGCATCCTAAGGACTGCTAAAATCAGAAAGTCATCCTAAACTGAATACCACAAAAAAAAAATAATCACCAAAAATATCACTTGAAGCCAAGATAGCCAAACAGAGGACGTCATTCTTTAGACATGTCATGAGAGCTGACTCACTCAAAAAGTCAGTCATGCTAAGAACGATCAGTGGAAAAAGGAGAAGGGGCCCGTTAGAAATTCTGTTTATATTAAAGCATCACACAGAGCAAACGAAGAGTACAGTCACCATGTGCTTTACTGCCCAACTATTTTTCTGTAAGAGGAAACTCTATTTAGAACAAAAGAGCATAGGGTAATCTCAGTCTCCATTTGAAAATATGTATCAGTAGAAAGGAAGAAAGCTTTGCATTCACCTGGCCATTTGCTTATATGCTTCTTCTGCAACTGCAAAAATATGAGGATCCATATCACCCATGTTTTGGCCGCTGTAGGCATAGATGACATCTTGTCCATAAATTGGCAATTGTTCGTAAGGATTTATGGCAACAAGCACGATACCTGAAAAATAATGAGAAACGCAAACGCTTAAAATGGTACAAAAACAAGAGAGGCACAAACACCCACAAGCAGAGTAGTTCAAATATGACTCACTGGTCACTTCATAGTGTAAACGGGCTTTTTTATTGTGCATTAATTTACAACCTCATTGCAGCCTGCTATTTAAATAAATAAGCAAGCAAGCAGAAGCCCTCACCCCTGCTTTTTTTTAATAGGTTCAGCAGGTTTGAAGGTCTTCCAGATTAAAATTCAACTGCTACAAGTTTCCTAAGCTGGCAAAGTTAGGTCTTAACCAGAAAATTCTCTAAATTTTCTACCGTGGAACTTGAAATAACATAGAGGCTAATTTGTGTAGAAACTACAGGAAGTCCTTGACTTAGGACCATAACTGAGCCCAAAATTTCTGTTGCTAAGCCAAGGCAGTTGCTATGTGAGTTGTGTCCATTTTATGACCTGTTTACCACAGTTGTTAAGCGAATTACTGCAGTTGTTAAGTGAATCATGCAATTGTTATGTGAATGTGGTTTCCCCATTGACTCTGCTTATCGGAAGCTGGCTGGGAAGTTACAAATGGTGATTACATTATCCCAGGACAGTGCAACTTTCAGAAGTACATGCCAGTTGCCAAGCACCCGAATTTTGATCACATGACCACAGAAATGCTGCAGGGGTCCTATTATAAGTCAACATTTTCAGTGCCACTGTAACTTCAAGTAGTCACTAAACCAATGGTTGTTTTTCTTCCCCCATCTCATTTATTAAAATTGAAGTTATTCAGCACATCATATTTTCTCTTACTTCTCAAAGCTGTTGTGAAGCTAAAACGCTGTTCTGAATTCCTTAATGAGATGCTGATGCAGATATGCATATATACACCCAGATCAAAGAAAGAGGGAACCACTCAAAGTTGTGAGTTACTAGTAACAATTGAAAAGAGGTTTTATACTTTGTGGACTGTTTTTGGAGTTTTTCTTTTTTCTTTTTATAAATTTTATTGAAAATTAAAATTTAAAAACATTTGAACATGGTAAACCAATGGTTGTTGAGGTCTACCTGTAACAAAAAAAAAAACCAGTCACTCATCTCATGTGATCATCTCATGTTTGGACTATTGCAATACATTCTTGGACTATTGCAATACAGAAGCCTACCCTTGAAAAATATCCAGAAGGTTCAGCTTGTACTGGATGGATGGATGATGGATGGATGGATGGATGGGTGGATGGACAGACATACACTGGTAGTCCTCAGCTTATGACAACAACTGAGCCTGCAATTTTCCTCATAAGTCATTGTGGCCATCAGTCAGGTCATCTCGTGCCTGGATTCAATTTTATGACCATTTTTACAATGGCCATTAAGCAACTCAGAAAATTGAGTTCTAGTCCAGGCTTAGGTATTAAAGCCAGCTAAATGACTTTGGGTCAGTCATTCCCTCTCGGCCCAACTAACCTCACAGAATGGTTGTTTTTGTGGGAGAAATATGAGGAGGAAGGAGTGCTAGATATGTGCACCACCTTGAGTTATTATTTATTAAAAATAATAAATCCTGATGTGCTATCGAGTAGGAAAACAGCTGCAACATTTTCTGCCCCATTTCGCACACTTAACATTACAAATAGTCCTCGACTTACGACTGGAATAGGGACCAGAATTTCTGTTGCTAAGCAAGTTGTTCAGTGAGTCGTAATCGATTTTATGATCTTTTTTTGCCAAGGTTGTTAAGCAAATCATTGCAGTTGTTAAGTGAACCGTGAGCTGTTGAATGAATCCAGATTCCCACGCTGACTTTGGTTGGTGGAAGCCAGCTGGGAAGGTCACAAATGATGATCACGTGACCCTGGGATGCTGCAATGTAAGAACTGGTCAAACGTCACTTTTTTTCAATGGTGTTATAACTTTGAACGGTTGTTAAATTGAGTGGTTGTAAATCGAGGAACTACCTATATAGGTAGATCAAAATAAAACCAAAATTTCTGTTGCTCAGCGAGACATTTCTTAAGTGAATTTTGCTCCATTTTGCAACCTCTCTTGCCACAGCTGTTAAGTGAATCACTGCAGCTTTTAAGTTAGTCACATGGTTGTTAAGTGAATCTGGCTTCCCCGTTGACTTTGCTTGTCAAAAAGTCACAACAGCGGATAACATGACCCCGGGCCACTGCAACCATCATAAATATGAGTCAGATTCAGCATCTGAATTTGGATCACGTGACCAGGGAAGGCTACAGTGGTCGTAAGTGTGAAAAATGGTCGTAAGTCACTTTTTTCAGTGCCGTTGTTAATTTTGAACGGTCACTAAACAAACCGTTGTTGATCATGTAATCACAACTGCAGGATTGGCTTATGCACAACTGTGGAAATGTAAAGAAACTCCAAGTGAAATAGAAACAATTAGGAAAATTTAGATGTGCACAGAAATGAACTAATTGACAAAAGAACTAAAAAATAAGGATGAATAGGATTATTACAAAGTATGGGATAAGTTTTATTGCTGGCTAGAAAAGAGGGAGGATCAAGAAAATGAAAAATGATTATATTATATACTACATATATAGAATGTATATATTTTTTATATGACTTAGCGACGTAAGACAACTATGTGGGTTAGGAGGATTGCACCATGTCCATTGTTTTTAATCTTCTTTTCTTTCTCTTTTGTGTTTGTTCAATAAAATTAAAAAAAACAACCTGTTGTTGAGGCCTGCCTGTCTTCTTTCCAAAAGCCATGCCTATGGCAATACTCACCACAATAGGTATAGATGTGATTTGATTCCAAAAAGCGGACTTTTAAGTTATGCAAGACGGCCGGTTCGTGGAGGTAACTCAAAGCTGTCAAGTCATTTTCTCCAACCAAAATATCTGGATTACGCAAAAAAGGAAACTTATTCTCTTTAGGATCAACAGGATATTCCAGGATCTGAAATGGTAAAAGGGGGGAAAAAAATAATCATTTATCCAAAGGTCTACCTGGGACATTTTCACATTTCCATAACCTGATCAAAGTAATATTTTAGGATACAAAAGAAGTGAGAAAATCAAACGAGGTATGTCCACATTCACAAAACAGAACCTTGAGGGGGGAAAAGTTGCATAAAATAGCACAACAATGTGCTCTTTAAATTAAAAGGCTTTCCTCCTATGATTAGTTCATTTACCTGCAAAGGAAAGGAAAGCATTATGACAACAAAATGCCTAGTCACCAGTGTATTGCCTATTTTTAATTGCAATTTGCATAAAAATTAGATTAGAGCTCTCTAATTTAATAGAGAATTGCTTTTAGCTGGTCACCAGATTTGTAATACAGGTAGTCCTTGACTTACGACCACAACTGAGCCCCAAATTTCTGTTGTTGAGCGAGACATTTGTTAAGTGAGTTTTGCTCCATTTTATGACCTTTCTTGCCATTGTTGTTAAAACATTGTAGTTGTTAAGTGAGTAACATGGTTGTTAAGTGAATCTGGCTTCCCCGTTGACTTTGCTGGTCTGAAGGTTGCAAAAGGTGATCATGTGATCCCAGGACACTGCAACCGTCATTAATTTGAGTCAGTCACCTTATACCCTTTCAGATAGGTGCCTGTCCAGTATCTTCTTAAAAATCTCCAGTGATGAAGCCCTAACAACTTCTGGGGGCAAGTTGTTCCACTGGTTGATTGTCCTCACTGTTAGGAAGTTTCTCCTTAACTTCAAGTTGCTTCTCTCCTTGATTAGTTTCCATCCATTGTTTCTTGTCTTCCCTACTGGTGCTTTGGAAGATAAGTTGATCCCCTCTTCTTTGCCCCTGGCTGACCTCAGCTTGAGTCTACCTGTTGTGGCTCGCCGGCAGCCGGTGCAGACGGCAGCAGAATCGGACAGTGGGGAAGAACGGGAACCAGTCTGGGAGTCTAGAGAGGACTCGGACGAGGGTCCTGAATCCGATGCGGAGATGGGGCCAGGATCATCTGGGAGTGGGGTGCTGCCTTCAGAGTCTGGCAGCAGCGAGGCAGAGGACCCAGGGGAGCCTGTTCCCAATGCGCGTGTGCACAGAGCTGCTGGAAGGCAAGAGCAGCTGAAACAAAAGGGGTGACTCGGGAGTAAGCCTGGGAGGTGACTGCCCCTCCCATCAGGGATAAAAGTCAGGCCAAGATGACGAAACCTTTGCAGGAAGCAAAGTAGTTCACAATGGGTTCCACGTCATCCTTGAAGCTCCTTGTACTTCAGTTGTTGTTGTTTTTTAATACTTCGGTTGGTTTCTTTTCTAGTTAATTGGATACTTCTGTTTTTGGCAGCACTTCAAAGAACTGAAAGGAGTGTGCTTATCTTGGGGGACTGTTTGAGATTAATTCTGGCTGGGAATGAAAAAAAAATAGGTTTTTTGTTTTAAAAATAAGTTTGTGCATCATTACGGTTTACGAAGTCTGGGTCAGAACACTACCCTGGTTACAGCTTGGATGTAACCATCTTGAAACCTGTGCTGGCCAACCACGTTTATGCTGTTGCCAAGAAAATTACAAGGCGACATCTATCTGCATATCAATTTCCAGGTTTCAAATTTGACCTTACTTTTTATCATACCGTTGCCAAAAAGCATCTGGCTGGTCCTGCTAGCAATGACAGCCTTCCGCCATGCTAATGGGGAATCTGAGGAATTGCAACCTGGGTGGCTGCCAGGTTGGGCGAGGCTGTTGGCATTGGCATGCTTCGATGTTCTTTGGCATGTTGTTTTCTGTTCTCGGCACTGACTAACTCTGTGCTCATGTGTGCCCGCTCGCTCTTGCTGTCTTACATCCATCATGCCCAATCTAATAAATGGGAGTGACTTGTCAACTAAGCTGAAAGCAAAATGAAGGGAATGTATCTGACAGAACTAGGGTGAGAAAATAAGTACACTCTAAAAGGCTTGTACCTTGTTTGGGGCGGTTGAATTCCAGCCCAGAAATGGGGATGGCATTCATACAACATGGGAAATTACCTTGCCATTCACCTTGGTCAGGGAGACAAGCCGCCCACCATTCTGCAGAGTGTCAAATCATAACCCTGACAGCAACCTCTGCTGGCCCTGACAATTAAGAGACCAGCTACCCCAGCAATTCTTGCACTAACCAGCGATTTCTAATTGTTGATGCTGTTGTAATTGGTATGACCCAGGACACAAACAAAGGGCTGAGGTAGCTCTGTTAGCACTGGACTCACAATGAGGGAGAAAGTGGAGGATTAGACTTTGAGTTCCTTTATGGGGGAGAAGAGGAAGGGGAAGAGAAAGAGAAAGGGGAAGGAAAAGAGAAAAAAAGGGAAAAGAGAAAAGAGGGAAAAGAGAAAAGGGAAAAGAAAGGAAAAGGAAAGGAAAAGAAAGGAAAAGAAAAGATAAAAGGAAGGAAGGGAAGGGAAGGGGAAGAGGAGATAAAAGGAGGTGAGAGAAGGGAAGGAAAAAGGGAAGGAAAATAAAATAAAAGATGGAGGAAAGGAAAGGGAAGGAAAGGAAAGGAAAGGAGAAAGGAAAGGAAAGGAAAGGAAAGGA